TTGGGATGATGAAAATATGAATACATAAAAAAGAGAAAATCTTTGAGCAGTTTGGTGACTGATTAGAAAAAAAATAATGAAGCTGGGCAGTGGTGGTGCACGCCTTTAATCCCAGCACTCAGGAGGCAGAGGCAGGTGAATCTCTGTGAGTTCGACACCAGCCTGCTCTACAAAGCTACACAGAGACACCCTGTATCAAAAAAACAAAAACAGTATTAAAATGATCAGGCTTGGGGACACAGACCTATAATGCCAGCCACGTAGGAGACTAAGGAAAGAGTATTACAAATTGAGACAGGGCCTTCCTGGGCTACAGAGTAGTTCAAGGGCAGAGAGCAACTTAATGAGGCCCAGACACAAGATAAATAAAAATATAGAAAGGGACATGGTAGTGTATGCTTTTAATCTCAGCACTCAGGAGGCAGAGGAAGAGGACCTGTAGTTACAGGCCAACCTACTCTACATAGTGAGTTCAAGACTACATAGTGCCACCCTGTCTCAAAACATTTGTAGAATGGTTGGGAGTTTAAAAACTCGTAAACTCGGACTTGTAGGTCCCTTTTCATGTCAGAAGTTAGAAAAAATGAGAGAGATGGCTCAAGAGCCCTGGCTGTTCTTCCAGAGGTGCTGAGTTCAATTCCCAGCAATCCCATGGTGGCTCACAACCATGTATAATGTGATCTGGTGATCTGGTGCACTCTTCTGGCTTCCAAGAACACTGTACACATAATATTTTTATAAAGGATAAAAAGTTAGAAACACTAATGTCTTGGGATCTGTGGGTTCATCGTTTTTTAGATCCAAAAATGTTAATTCATCTTAACCTCTATTTCCTTTTATATAAAAGAGGAACCACCATGCTAGCCATAATGGTAGGTGGGGTGGCAAAGATAAAGGCTATCCAGCTAAATACGATTTCCTGACAATGAATCCGCTCTAGACTAAAGGATGTCCAACCTTATACCAAAGTGATTCGTTGTCTTCTACAGTAAAATTACTAGACGTTCTGTATTTTTGTATTCTAAGTGTAACAACGGGAGGGCTACTAAAGGCCGCGTGTGGACCCCAGCCTCGGTCGGTGGTCCTCCATCCGTTCCTTTATCCTCTGGCAGCAAGGATGCGCTCTAGGCAGCAGGGCGGAAGCGCCGTGAACAGCCGCGCTCTGACGCGAGGCCCCGCCCCTCGGCGCGCAAATTATACGTAGCGCGGCGCCCGTCCGGAGT